CTGCTGTCACTTGACCCTTCTCCCGCCCACTCTCTCCTTCAATTCAGCATTGACAGGAGTGAGCGTACTCAAATTAATCAAATTAACAACTCATATATGAATGAAAGTTTGTGTCAGATTTCGACGGTGAGGAATTGGATATCACTTATCTTATCTGATCTATATTAAGACCCCACGCAGAACATACGCATACCCACTAACTGCAAAATCACAATCATGCATGCCAGTCCATCTCTGAGGTTACAGAGCTTCCTCTTTATGGTCAATGAAGTTCACCATTCAGGCATCTTTCCCATCTTCACCTTGTTGTATATTGAGTAGTGGACTTTGAAGACGACCAAGGGGAAATGCAAGGCTCAAGGGTAAACTTTGACGTGGGAGTCAATAGAAATGTGTATAGAGGTGCCATGCTGCGAGATCTCCATTGAACAACAATCTATTTACTCTTTGCATAACAGTACTATTTGTGTTTGGCAACGACAGACACCATGGCGTGTGAAGAATTAGCTCACTGCATTCCATCAGGAAATCACGTTTCCAAACTACAAGGAAGAGGACTTCACCTTTGGGATGCTATAAGTAGTCCTTCAACTCCTCTCACCGTTAAATCTCTTTTGAATTAATATTAGACTCCTGGGAGCATTAGACCAAACTTTGCACACATTTATGTCCAAGACAAATTGACCAATTCGTCCAGGAGCCCATGTTATGGATGGGTTATCAGGACTTAAGCAACTTAGCACACCAATTCCAGTCTGTTGTAGAGTAAATTTCCATCCTTAGGGAATTCGAATAAAAAGGCTGATAGACGAAGGTGCCAACTGTAAGAAAATGCGACTGTTCTCAGGGCACAAAATCAACGAGGACTACCAGTGTCCGATTTCTTGTTGTCCTAAGCTCTACAAGCACCAATCCAGAGTATAACGCACAATCTACGTATCGTATTCACTGCAAGGCTTTCCCAAAGACTGCTTGAAAAGCACGGGCCTATGGACTGAGGATTGAGATGAAGCAGAAGATTAATCACGCCAATTCCCGTGAACCAAATTCCTCCCCCCATCCCTTCCAGTAACCACTCCCCTCTGCTGGACCGCTTGTTCGATTGGCATATTTCAGCCAATTCCTACTGGGCATTATAGGGGTTCTTCCACCACTCAGTTTGCCCCGTTGCTTTTGATCCCATCCGCAGACTCCTTCCACCACTTGAACTCCTCTCACCACCAACTCCCACATTGCATTGAAAACCCAGCTGAACTGAACTTAGTCCTGAATTCTAGTTCGTTCATGGATCAGAGCTCAAATCATAAGTTTATTCCATAACGGTGATCGCATCTGAATGACCGTCAAATGAATCAGTAGTTATCGGCTGGAAGATACGGTTGCAGTTGACTGATTTTGGCAGCTATTGGGTTGGCAACTAAGTCATTGCCGTTTTTGTTGACAGATTCACTCTATACTTTCTTTTGTTTTGTTAACGTGGCCAGAGCATCTAACCTATATTTTTTTCTTACTGTATGGGCTTCTAGGTTAATTAGTAAAAATTTTTTTGTTTAGTTCTTTAGTTTTGTTTTTATCCCAATTTAAAAATGAAAGAACAGGACGTGCACTTCCGACACATTTTATTGTATTACTTCCGAAAAGGCAAGAACGCATCGCAAGCACAAAAGAAGTTATGTGCCGTATATGGAGATGAAGCCTTAAAAGAAAGGCAGTGTCAAAATTGGTTTGAAAGATTTCGTTCCGGTGATTTTTCACTGAAAATTCACAACGATCTGGCCGCCCAGTCGAAGTGGATGAAACCCATATCAAGGCCATTATCGATTCAAATCGTCACACCACAACACGAGATATTGCAGAGAAGCTCAATGTGTCGCATACATGCATTGAAAACAAATTAAAAACCCTTGGTTATGTCAAGAAACTTGATTTATGGATCCCTCACCAGTTAAAGGAAATTCATTTGACGCAACGGATTAGCATTTGTGATTCGCTACTGAAACACAATGAGAATGAGAATGATCCATTTCTGAAGAACCTAGTTACTGGCGACGAAAAGTGGATAGTTTATAACAATGTTACTCGCAAGAGATCATGGGTGAAGCAAGATCAACCAGCCCAAACAGTATCAAAAGCAGCAGAGATTCACCAAAAAAAGATTATGCTGTCAGTCTGGTGGGATCACAAAGGAATTTTGTATTTTGAACTCATGCCGCAGAACCAAACGATAAATTCAAATGTGTATGTTGAACAACTGGAAAAACTGAAGGATGCAATTGAAGATAAGCGGCCGGCATTATGAAATCGGAAGGGTGTTGTTTTCCATCATGATAACGCAAGGCCCCACACATCTTTGGTTACTCGGCAAAAATTATTGCAACTGGGTTGGGATGTTTTGTCACACCCACCATATAGCCCTGACCTTGCGCCTTCGGATTACCATTTGTTTCGTTCCATGCAAAACTCTTTAAATGGTAAAATTGTTAACAACGCGGATGATGTCGGATCGCACCTAATTCAGTTTTTTAATATCAAAGACCAGACATTTTACGAAGGGGGAATTTTTACTCTGCCAGAAGGATGGAAAAAGGTCATCAACAAGAACGGCCAATATCTAATTGAATAAAGTTATATTTTTAAACAAAAATTCCGAATTTGCCTTCTTATTTGAAATCGGCAATGACTTAGTTGCCAACCTAATACAAAACTAATCTGACAGGCATTGGTTGCCTACACCACCACCCACTTGGGAATTTTGAGTAGTCATTCATACTAACCACTGGTCTCCCGAAATAACCATGATTACATAGATTTACATGTCCTGATGTCAAAGTGGGAGCTGACATGGCAAAAGGATATCACAATTTCTTCAAAAATTGACGAGTTAACATGTCAAGGAACGTTTCAATTTCCTTTTGACTAGTTCTCGTGATGCGGGGTGTGAGATAGACTTACCTCCACGTGGTGCACCCTGGACAACGTATACTCATACGGCAAAAAAGTCTATTAACTGGCAGTTGACTTGATTCGTTCAATTTACAGAAGTCAGTAGAATTGATGATGTTGAGGCGTTTTTCCCAACAGAGGCTTGACTCATCGTTTCAGATAGTAAACATTTATTTATTTATAATAAATGGCAGGCGTTTTGATAGTTATCATTAGCCCTTTAGTTGACTTCGGGCTTCACAGAGGGGAGGAGGAACATCAAAGTGAGAAGAATTCAGGAGGGGGAATAGAAGGGTGTTTTAAAGATGTAAAAGACACAGACACAAAGGCTCAGAAAGGGTAAGATGAGTAGTGGTAGGGGTCGAACATGACATACAGTGGGGGTGATGGTTGTTTGAAGTGAGAAGTCAACTGCCGATTAATAGACCTTTTTGCCGCATGAGTATACGTTGCCCAGGGTGCACCACGTGGAGGTAAGTCTATCGCACACCCCCAGATAGTAAACATGATATATTATGGTCTATTATTATAGCCGAAGCCCTATTTTTAAGTTGCATTTACCCTAGTAAAAATAAAAAATATAATGTTTGAATAAGGCAGTTGACTTCTCACTTCAAACTACTATCACCCCACTTCATGTCATATTCCACTACTTCCACAGTAATCACCTCACCTTTTTTCTACCTTTGTGTCTGTTTCTTTTGCATCTTTGAAACACTCTTCTCTTCCCTCCCCCCTGTCGACTTTTTCAATTTGATATTCCTTCCCCTCTGTGAAGCCTGAAGCCAACTAAAGGGCTAATGATAACCACCAAGACGCCTGCCATTTGATATAAATAAATAAATAAAGTTCTCGTGATGCACACAGCACTGCCAGTAGTTCTGTCTCCATTATTGAGGTTAAAATTTGCACTCCTAATGATGAAATGAAGCAGAAATACCGCTTGGATAGATTATGCCTTCGTAAAATACAAGAACACCAATACCCCCAACCCTCCCCCCCCCTCTACAAAGTCAGAAGAGTCCCGAAATAATGCATAAAACCTCCATTCAGTGTGAAGGAATAATTCGACACTTCCAAAGTAGTAGAAGTAATAGTAATAGTATAGATGGGGAGATGATGCGTGTACTCATTTGTACAAAACGTGGAAGTGGGGAGGAGGGGTAGTGAAAAATATGGTGCTATCATCAAGTAGCGACAGGAGACGCTAAGAGGTGTGTTGCTGCTGCTGCTGTTGGCGTTTCTCGTGAGTGGGGCTGCCTGTGCGGTGGATCCAGTCATCAATGGGAATACCCACAGACTCGTAGTGGCGCGCGGAGGTGCGGTTGAAAACGGGGAGGTATTCGTCTGCGTCAGCGGCTTGACTCATCAAATACACGAAGGCCTCTGTGCCATAGCCCTCCGCCCCAGATAGACTCAAGTCACCATGGAGATAGCGCGCATAGAGCCGTGAGAGGGGTAGGCCGTAGCCATAGCCAGCAATTGGCGCGTATCCCGCTGAGGGGGAGAGATGCGACTCACTTCGACCTGTTCGTGATCCTCCAGTGGTGTAGGTGTACTTGAACAGCTGATCGTTCAGAGCTCGTGGAAATCCTCCGCCCTGATCTGAGACCTAACAAAAAGGCAGAGGAATAGTCATTGACATCCTCAATGCTTCATACGAATACTTTCTTTCCACATTATAATTGAGTCTATCTGTATTGTCAGGTTAGCAACCGTTAGCCGAGTCCGGCATACCACCAATTAATCAAACTGAAAACGACTTCTTATGTGTGCTCGTATAAGCGGTCCTGTGCACAAAAATAATGTATTCAAGTCACACACACACACGCACACACACACACACTCAACACAATGAGATTACGAACCTGGAAGAAACGACTTCTACAAAACTCAGTTTTTAGCTGACAGAGTTCTGCCACTAAGCTTTAGACATACTCTGCTCTGTTCTAAAGCTCAGTCCTAAGAAGCCTTTCCACGAAATAGTCCATATGACTCTGAGAACGTGAGAGTGGGCACACAACATAGAGTTAGAATTACCATTTTGGACTCATTTTGCTATCGAATAGGGAATTCAGAGTATTTACAGTTGTAAAAAAAGAAGCAGACCCAAACAGACGATGAGGAGGATGGCATGATGACCCTACTGCCAATTTGCATGATCCAGCATCAGATAAAATGGAATTTTTGTCAAAATAAGCACACGCCCACAGTGCAACATACAGTGGAGAAAGAGAAGAATGCACTCTGCGTGCAGACAAGGCCATCCGTGTCAAACTCTTGGAGCGAATCAGCGAAACAATAATCACCCCAAGGGCTTCAAGATGTCAACTGCGAAGTGTCTACAACAAGTATCTCGTGTTCAAAGTGTCTTGAATATCAGAGGGAGATTTCATGCCATTCGGATTTTCCACTAAACGGAGGGTATTTTCATTAATTCCTCTGAGGGAGAAGATAGTCACCCGATAATTACTAGAAACCTCCTTTCTACTCCTATTTACTTGGAAGTTGCTTCAAATATATACCAAACGTCATCTATTTGTTCATCAACGTTGCATTTACCGAGGTAAAGAGAGGAGGATTTGGGACCCCGATCCCGAAATCAGGTAAGCGCCACGAAATGAAAATGCAATTAGTATTGCTTTGCCCATAAAAGGTTCTTTTTGAAACGAACTGGGCTTTGAGAGGCATAGTGTGACCTTGAGGTTTTGCCTGTATTTTCATTCCTCTGAGCTCAAATTCGCCTTGCAAACAAGTACTATAGCGAGAGGGGAACATAAAATTTGCGCAACTGCACATTAAGCCAAACCCTGAAATGTCCCCCAGTAGCCTGACTATTCATGTGAAGATCGCACATAAAACAGGATAAATAGATCCACTCCTCTCCTCCTCTTTGAACAGCCATGAATTAGGAACAACCGCATGAAAGCACACACACACACACGCGCATAAAAAGAAGCAAGTGGCCCCAGGGTTGGCGCTCTCCTTACACGCCTGTGTTACTTGCAACGGGGGAAGATGATAAATTAAAAGGTAATTCTAGTCAATTGCAGGGAATCAATAATTTCCAATAGGCATTCCATTTCTCCCCCACCCCCCTCCCCTCCCTTCACAAGAGCTGTCATCTTCTCAAGAAGAGTTACTTTGATGTGAGTCTGTTAGATTAGGCGCATCGCTCCTATATTAATCAAGATCCAATCCTGCAAGATTTTGGGTTCTTCTTCCCACCCAATGCGTAGAGACCGTTTACTTTGGGGGTTAACAAAAAAAGATTGTCAAAAGCAAATACCTCTCCACCGAAAGCCTGTTCAACAACGACACACGACAGTAAGATGAAATTAGGCGAAGTACTCGCAATGTAAACACACACACACACACGCGCACACAAACCACAAAGCTCTCTCTCTCTCATCCTCCAAGAGCGACTTCAATCAATCAATAAACGGGTCATGTTTACCAAATTAGGCTGACGGGTGTGTATACTACAACACGCTCGCCGCTGAAACGCGAATGCGGAACCAAAATTTCGCGAAAAAAACTGAGAGGCGGAAGACAAGGAGAGGAGGTGGAGGAGGAGACCACATCAGTGACAAAAATGCTCAAGAATAAGGGCCAACGATTATTCATCTTAGTGTATAGCTAAAAATATCAGCTGTGGTAAAGAGAGTCCGAATTTTGTCAATTGCAGATCATAAAACAACTTGTTTCTGTTGAGAAACGGACTGGAACCACGTTTGCAAATAAGTCATAGGAAACTTGTTAATAATCCACCTTTCCATTAAATCGTCTTGATGAAAGCAGTGATAGATCCATTTGCATGGCCCCGCCGTTACACCACAACAAAAACCTTCAAGTGAGTGACATTTCTAGAGGAGAGAAATTCGGCATCCCCTGAGGACATAAATAATGGCGCACTGGTTGTGGTTGACGCCACATCTCCCTGTGACAGTGCGAGGGAGCAAAATGAATTTATTAAGAGAGGTTCGGAAGTCGCGGAAATGGCCTCACCTGGAAACACTGAAAACCGAGACAACTCGACCTTTTACTAACTAAGGCTAAGGCTACACTTAAGAGATAGTAGGATGGCAGAGTGGAACAAGGTCCTCTCTCTCTCTCTCTCAAGCCATGGAAGGAAAAAAGGCATGCCGTAAACTTACCCTAATTGTGACGTTGTGCTCGCCTTTGACAATGAGAACTTCAATTGGTGCATAATCGTCATCTTTGTGCTTCAGTCCCTTCTCCACCACTGCTCGCATTGCATTCTGAAGGTGAAAAATACCATCATCGCCAACAAAATATCATCTTATAAAGTGGCTAAAATGGAAGAAGAATTTAGTTAATCATTACTCCCAACACAATTCTCGGATAAGCCTCGATGAAGGCAACTTTGCAATTTTCTCTCGTGGAATCGATGGAGAATATACTGGTGGAAAAATGTCTGAAGAAAGGTCAAGAATGTTGACCATTCAGAAAGATCCTTCAAAGTGGCAGAAAATTCGCGGAGTTCATAAAAAGTACTTACATACAACACCAAGTATGGATACTTTAGAGCTTTTGGAGAGAAAACCTGCTAAAACACTTCTGAAGTTCAAAACAACTTTTTTTTGAAACAGAACAATTGGGGCCAAAGTTTGATTCGAAGCCATAATTCCATGAAATAAACCTCAGAGTCCTCCATTTTCACCAGTTCGTAACAATAGTCCGAATTTTCCAGTTTCGTTTCAGAAAATATCTCCAAACACCTCAAACTAATTAGCAACTGTACAATCTCCGGGATAATAACGAAATTTAAGGAGTGGAAGAAGAAGTGCTTTATAGATAGAATGAGGGAAACATCTGGCTTCCACATTTCATGCTCCTATTCATAAGTAAACATGCATCACTGTACATCAAAAGCACACACAAACCTGCTGAATGTGACTAAAACTAAGACAAGAACTAAGGAAACAAAACGAAGCTAACTGCAAAATCCTCTCCCTTTGCAATCAAAGAGAAATGCACGGAAATTCACAAAAATAGTGACCCATGTTTAGCGGTTCTTGAGAAATAATTATTCGAATTTTAAATCACCTCATTCTGGACATTTGTGGAAACCAAGTAAAGGGAATGCTATCCAGCCAATTCAGAAACACCATGGTTTTGTGTCTTACAGACGTAGCAAAACACAACCGGCTTAGAAATAATCGTTCAGTTTAGTCAGTTAAACTACAAATCAGGAATAAAATCGCTTTTTCCAACGGATACTTGGGCCGTCGAAGAGAACTTTCGGTTAAATCACAAAATTAAATTAGTGGAGCAAGACGACATGAACTTGACTCGTTAAGTAAAAAAGGTGGAAAAGCTGATAGGTTTTGAATTCAAAGTATCTATAACGACTCGATTTCCCCTTTAAGTCTGCAACTGATCTGATTGAGGATAGCGCGAAAAGGAAGACTTGTAGCTTAAAAGATAGTTGTGCCTACGAGCAAAGCAAATATGGAGAGGTCAATGACTGGCTTCTCCACAAGAGGGGGGGGGGATACAATCGAACCGGTGATGCAGCACATGCAATACGAAGCCTGAGAGTCTCTCCCTCTCCAGTGCACTGAAATATTTGACTGGGCCGCCTAATACAAAGAAAGGAAGTGGCAACCGACTAGTTGAACAGATTGTGCGGTCTACATCGCCACTGCCAAGAGTCTGTGGTGAAACAATTTCCAAACTAAGGATCGTCAAACGACTGGCAAAAAATATTTTCCCAAAAGTTGTTATTACACACATCATATATCTGTTGCGTGAGTAATCAGTGAAGACGTCAGATGCAACCCATCGGTGAACAGAGCGGTGGCCAATAAGCCCAATGGCCAGGTCTGGCTAAAAGCGAATTGTCTGTCAGAGGACGGCTCAAATCAAATAAGTGAAGTGGATTCGGTAGCGCATCTGATTAAAATGGCATTGTATTCAACAAGGTAGAAGTATAAATTGAAAAAAAGAGGTGACGATAAACACTTGAACTTGCTTTAAGAAGCTCGAATAGCATGTGGTAGAGATGAGAGGGCACATAGACGAATTCAATAACTCCGTTGACATCTGAATAAAAAGAAAACAAAGGCATAAAAAATGCACAAAAAGGCGTGAAAATGGGTTAAAAAAAGTAGAATAGGTGGCGAAAAATGACCATTTGAGAGGCTGATCTTCAACTCAGGCGAGTCGGCGTAGTAGTGGTCACAGAGCAATTTGGCGTCATCATAGGCGTCTTGGAGTATGTGAACAACGTTGCAGTGCTGGTCAATGCAGCCGACAAATCGATGGTGTTTATTCAATTCGGGACCGAATACAAGCACTATAATGAAATAGATATGTAAGTGTAAAATAAAACCACCAAAATGAAAGCAACTTACAGTGTTGACTAGCGAGCATACGGATGCTAATACGCATCAAGAAAAGTCGATCGAGAAAATATTGCAGCTGATTATTTATAACCGGATCCTCGCCGTGCTTTTCTCTCATTTCCATTACGCCCTAAAATTAAGGGGAATTAGGAGCGCAATTGTAGCTTTCATTACTGAAGCCATGGTTTCGACAACAGTCGCGTGCCTGGAAAGAGCCGTGTCTAGAACAACGAGAAAGTCATCGCAATCTTTTGCGGTTAAATCTTTATCCTCAAAGCTGATAAGATCCATAAAAGTTTCTTCATACCTATGAATGAAGGAATAAGATTAATTTCAAACCTACCAACTAGTGACCAAAAATGCTGAGGGTGTTTCTAATAACTTTTTAGGCAAAAGATGTAACTCCTGTAAAATATTAGCAAACCGAACAGGCAACTCTAATCTTAGAAAGTTGGTGGACTTTGCAATTTCTGAACTCGGACTTTTACCTGGGGCAAGGGTCATTAAAATATTGCTTAATTACCGAAAGCTGCTAATGTTTTTAAAGAAAGCGGAGTTGGGCTAAAAGATGCGTATTTGGCAAACTTCTCGGTTGCTCTTACTGGTAGTGCTAACAGACGTCTAGTTAGCCACATTTTAGTAGGTAAAATGTTCAGTTAACTGTATTCATAAAGTAACGCAGTTCAGAAATACTTCAAACAAGGTTTTACCTTCAAGTTATTTAAACACTTTCAATTTCGCAAAAGAAATAAATTGCATAAAGAACACCAAATCTTAAAAAAAGCATATTTATGCAAAGTCGGTCCCATTTGTGCATGTACTAATATTGATAAAAATATTTAGCATTCAAATTGAAGCATATCCATATATTCTTATGTGTTTTATAAATATTTCTGAAAAACTATGCTATTTATTCTATTTTACCATTATTACCCTTTTGGATTGCATATATCTTGGTTTGAAGATTTCAAAGTTGCGTACTTACAGGTTTTTTGAGGTTTTCTAAATTTTCTCAAATAAAGCATTATCAAATCTGTCAAATCCAATGCTAGGTATATCTTTATTTACGATCATTAAACATTGGGCTTGGTTTTGTATTTTGATTTCTTAAATAGTAGTATTAAAATTGGCTTATTTTTCCAAAGGCTAAGGGTGTGCGTGGTAAAGAATCTTGACGCGATTATCCCTAGCAATTTCATCAATACTCGCATAGCTAATCAGCTATTAATGTTAACTCAAGCTCTATTAAATGTTTTCAAATATTAATTGTTATTGGTTTGAACCTAATTTCAGTCTGTTTCCCCTATGTCGTTGAGGCAGTTTAACTAATTTTCGTTCAAGTGTATTTTGCTGTAGAGATTGCTGAGAATAAGTCTATCCTTATTCCTATATCAATCTGCCACAGATGTCAGGATAATTGTGTAAAATGAACAGAAATTTAACCTCCTTGACTTGATTTGTACTAGATAAATATGAGTCCAAAGTTATTGATAAATCGTATTTAAAAAAATAATCTATTTTTTATGATGCAAAGGTACCAGAAATTAAGTCTTACAAATGGCTTTTGGATATTTAATTTATCTTAATTTTTGCGTTTTTCACACCAGGAACTGCAAACAAAGCTATGTGACTGTTATGAAACAAGGTTAACTTGACCCAATTGGGCAGAATAGAAATTGAGAGCATAAGACCATATCATGTCCCTAGATCAGCACGAAGGTTGGTGAGAATCCACCTCAATTTAATAATTGTCACGGCCAAGATTTCATCAATGCGTATTCTTTTCTAAATAATTCCAAATCCAACCGATTTATGAAGGAATAGTAGGTTATCTGCTTAGATAATATTTAAGATGGTCAACACTTGTCACAAGCACACGCGTTAGGCATGATGTCATTACCGAAAACTAAATTCCGCCAATTACTATACAAGCTCCAAGTATCATAATCCTAGTTTTGCTCCCAAATCACGAAATTAAGCAGTAAGCTATGAGAATGTGAACAATTTGGTAAGGCAAACAGCCTCTCTGAACGCATCCCCATTGCCTGTTCTGTCAGATTCGTATCCTACCCCCTTCATTCCAGTCACTCTTTCCTTGATTAAACTGAGCAAAGGTATTTCGTATTAAAACGGGCATTGTTGTATATTATGTACTCGATACATCAATTTACGGAAATATTACACAATCCTACTTATAACGACTTCAGTAGCAAGAATCCTATTTGAGCGAACAAAATCTTATATTTTTATTTACAAACCTCACCCATACATCAAAAAGAAAGTAAGGGGAGATAAAATGGACTTGTTCTATCAGGGTTTCCGTCTCTTTGCAGAAGGAGTCAATACAGCATCACCCTCACTCTCATCTATGAGACAGCTTTTCATTGACGATTCTGAGATATCCATTCCAATTTCGCTAGACCTTCGCGACGGTCTTCGTCTTTTTCTAATTCTTTTCTTAGAATTACCATCTGTCTCATCTACGGACAATGGCTGCTTCTCCTCCGCCTCAAAATTAGCAACAGTTTGCTCCGTTTTCTTAAGTTCCACGGTATCAGATGTCATATCCTCTTTCGTAACTAAAGATTTTACGACAACTTTCTCTTTTGGAGGAAGATCCACTACCCCTTTCAACGCCTCACTTATTGACGTTGAAACTTCTTCCCCTTCTGGCAATTTTTCGACCGCCGTTTCTTCTTCAATCTCATTGTTCTTGTCTTGGTATTTAGCTCCAGCACCTTCGGTCTTCTTTTTCCTTCCACCCCTTGTGTGCTTTGTTTTGGAAGTAGTTTTTGACTCCTTCATCTTCCTCCTCCCAGTGAGAGGAGGAGGAGGAGGAGCCTCGGCAGGAGCCTGCTTGGCTTTCACTTCGAGAAATTGTGCGGCAGAAGCTTCCTCACTGGGATAGAGAAGGGCACGCATCCTGACAGCGAGACAATTCAGCGACTCCATGTTGGAGGACATTCGATCGAGAATGTCGCATGACCTTTGGTACTCCTCATTTTTCTTCATCGTCGGCCGACCAAACACCTCTGCGGAAAAAATAGCAAATAGAAATTTTATAAGCCAGTGAAAATGCAAGCAAGCATTAGATGAAAGCGGCCAATGCTGCAAAATGAGCGATCTTTCACACAAATTGTCGACTTCATGTCCTTTCCACATTAACTCGACTTACCTATGCTTTTCTATCAATAGACGACTCTTTAGAATATTTGTGTTCCAAAAGAAGAGCACACGGGTTCTACGAGGGGAACTCTTTCCATCCACTAGAATGAACATAGTGATTCGACTTTATTATAGACCTGACCCGCGTAAAGGTCAGTTCACTTTCGACTTAGTAGTCATCGGCATTCTTCGAATGAACTCCACGGATGATGATTATGAAACCCAGTAACAGGACAATACAACGATTGTCACCTCCCATACCGACTCGACAGGAGGCCTTTTTGATGGAAAGAGCCATCAGCCACCAACGCCGGGCAGAGTATCTGTGTAACCGTGTCTTCAGCTCTACATCGATATCTCGGACTTATTTCACATGCGTAAATTTTGCACTGATTGCTGTTTACGTCATTTCCAGTGTTAATTGTCTTCATCAGTTTGGTCCTGCTTAACAAATATACAATTATCTTAAAACAACCCCCACTTGCAAGATTATGCTACCATCCCCCCAACTTTAGATGGCAATGCGTAGAAATGCGAATTAGAGAGATTCTCAATAATTGATCTCGCCAAAATACTCCCACATTCCCACATTCATGTCGTGCAATATAAAATGAACGCGCTCATGTGCAAAATGCCACTTGAAGAGACCCAGGCAGGGTCATTTAAATACTTCTTGTGAAGAAGACGAGACGGTAAATAAAACGACAACGAGATTCCAATTCCAAGTTGCGTTAAAAAAACAGGTCTGGTTGTTGAAACGGCAAATATTAAAATCTTATTCCCAGTGGTGATATTAGTAAGAGCCTCTCAAGTGCAAAAATCGCAGAATACGTTTTATGGAATGAGCAGAGGGTTAAAACAATTGGCCCGACACCCCATGGACCAAACCTACTCAACTACTGGAGATACAGCAACTGGAGCTATAGAGTTTTTATTAATAAGCACGAAAGAGCGCTTACTTGTGACAGTCCTCAAGAGGTGGACACAGGTGGGTGTGAGGCTTGGATGCCAGATGTTGAGTCGAATGAATCGAAGGAGACGATTCATATCCGCTTCCGATTGGCCAGCCACAGCGGCACTGAGGGTGGCCCGACGCGCTAACTCGCGCACCACCGCGACCACGGCTGCTTTCGCCATCTCTGGAGCAACCCCGACTCGTAATGCCTCACTCAGCGCCTTCGTGTGCTGGAAACGAAGCAGACTGCCAGTGAGACGGGCTATCGACGCCGGCTCCTTCGAGGACTTGGCCACGAAGAGGTTTCGTGAGATCTCCGTGTGCTACAATAAAGATTAATTTTAAATAAAAATATTTTTTTTCGTTATAATTAACTATTTTCAGGGTTCTACTGCACACCAATTCCAGTATTTCGAACACTTGATTAACGACAGTAACCTCTCACCATGTATCCACAATTGGCTTATAACTGGCGTGATCTTTGCTGCTTCGATCAAGGGTGTTCAGAACCTTTCCATCTGTTAATGATATTCCTTCCGACCAAACTACTTCCAATTTGCACACACGTACAAATCACGTTACTCACATCAATTACGCCATTAAAACAGGAAATTCTGCGGTCTCTTCACTACTTCGCTACCTTCACATCCTGAACGATAATTTTCAAGTGCAAACACGACTTTTCGTGATTCTACTTTAAGCTCCTTAAAGCTTTACCAAACATCAAAAGTCGATTAATTGTTGTGGGGTCTAAATTGGGGATTAGACACAGTTGAGAAGCCAAAAGCCCATACAAGAACATACCTCATGGATAAGCGGAGCTCGTGATCCACTGAATCCCCAGTCCTTGGGGGCGAAACGAGATCCGCCAGAGGGCGGAGCGGGTGTCTTGAACCACTCATCGGCAGTCAGATCCTTCTCCGACATTTGTGTCTTCTTGCCTGCATTAGAGAAGGACGCAGCCAGTTCACGCATCTCCGGGTCGATGACTGAAAAGGCCTCCTGTTCCTTTGCACTTGACGAGGCCTTCAAGGCCATCTGGGTGGAGGGAGTGACGAAGGAAAAGGTACGAACCACACCCGACTCCATTCCTACCACTACATACCGCAAGTCTGACTAAAATGAAAAAAGGAGAATAAGTGTGCTTTCACTCGTCCACTGAATATATTGAACAATCACACTGGTGATGGTACCACTCAAGGAAAGCTATAATGAAACGAAAAATGAAGTTGCGAAATATATGCTAAAGGGGAATTGCCGAATATCGAATTAAGCGCAGATTAGATTTTCAACAACTCGAACTAGCTTCTTGAAAGCATCAGGAGTAGAATGTAACTTTCAATAATATTAAAGAATCTCAATATTTGAATTATTACGAAATAATTTATGAGGATGACATTTTTTTATTTAATCAGTTAAAGAAATAAGTAAATGGATTCTTAAGCGTAGAAGATTTAAACCCTCTTTATTTGCAGGTGAATGTATTGCATTATTAAGTGATGTAGATGTTTACGCGCTCGGAGGCCACGGAATGGACGTGGGTGACGCAGATGCTTACGTCCATCGGTGCCCAGAAAATGAGTGAATTGAACAACCACACCCCTTAACTGGGGAAGGCAGAATTGTACTTCCCATTGGATGCTTATTTATGCCACTATCTACTTCATGAGAAGCAAAAGAAGCGACTTAATGAAATGGATCTGTTACCATTAAACAGACCACAATAGCAGGGAGTCAATGTAATTATGGCCTCTTCTTCCAATTCTTGAATACTACCATTGAAAATCTGGAAACGTTTTGAACAAAAGAGAGAATGCAAACTACAGCTTTAAGGACTCGAATCAAGTAAAATCATTAAATTCAGAAGATAAAACAGGAAAAAACACAATAAGAGATGCTTGAAAGACCTAGCTTTATAGAGAAATGACTTACGAAAGCGGCCAGAGCAGTACAAGGAGAAGGCAGTCTTTCCTGGTGGAAGACGTCAGCACTCTTGAGACTGGAAATTCGCAGCAATCTGTCCATTCCAACAGAGAGTAAAAGCGGATCTTGATGTACATCCGGAGAATGAATGATAGCCATGTCTGTTATCAATTTGTAGTGCATGTAGACACCAGGATGTGCTAATGGATCTGACGATGTCAAATTTGTCTGTAACCAAGGTCTACGAGTTGCTACATCCCAAGTGTACACATATTGATCTGCAGCAGAGACAATGATCTGATCATCGTAGGCAAATTTTAGTGAAGAGGGACTGGAACGAAGATTGAACTTGTGAGCAGGAGAACTTTGCCGCAAATCAAAAAGTGAAACTGCTCCAGTGAAATCACCAGCGCAGAAAAGGTTCTCGTTAACCCTACCAACAGACATGCAACTTGGGGGTTCGTTGTCCAGCCCAACTGGATATTTTGTAATTAACTGGCCAAGAGCTACATCCCATTGTTTGGCAAAACCATCTTTTCCCAAGGACATAGCTTTAAGCCCACCGGGCAAAAAATCGGCATGAAGCACTTCACTAAAATGTTCGATAACAAGAAACAAAGTTACCTATTGTGGGCCTGAAACTTCTTCAAGTGATAAGAGCTTTTATCTGTCGTGCAAAAATGTAGAAACCCATTGTCAGTACCGCCGACAATCAGCTTTCCATCAGCACGATAATTGCAAGTAGTTACTTGTTTCTGAAAACCAGTTATTCTTCTGTGCTTTTTATCCGTCTCAGCTTTGAATATAATTACCTATGTTTCGTTAGAACATAATATGAATCATACTTACCGATCGACCAGTGGGAATCGCATATTTATGAGGCAACTTGAAGTTCGTGGCTACACAGCTAATGCGTTTTCCCAAGTTAAGCCTTCCGTGTTTCTATAAAAAGCAAATTAAAACAAAAAAGCGCTCACATTAAATGAATCCCAAATGCTTTCATCGAACCTCTTCGCTTCATATTCGGTAACAACACCAACACGTCTAATCATGCTGTTTGGCGTAGACAAACTACATACAAGCCTAGCGCGGGAATGAACCAATGGTATGTTAAGACAAAAGATGGTCAATGCTAGTTAAGCGCGTTAGAAGAAGACAAACAATTTTTTCCAATTTAAAGTTATTAATATTATTATATTTGTTATTTTTTCATGACTTTTATGATTTAAATTTTTGCCAAAATAATAACTCATTAATTCATGCGAGAATAAAAAGGTTTACAATTCGGAAAGCTTGTGATTCTTTCCCGTTATTTTCTATACTTGCAAAAGATTTTTGTAGATTTGCGATATTTATTTATGGCATAATTAATTATATGCTTTGATGTGGGGGGTACCCAAAATGGAAAAATGAAATCCAGATATAAATGTTGACTATATTAATATTCTCTGATTAAAACAGCCCTACTGATTTCTTTTCAAAGCTGAGAGAATTTCCATTCTTTATCTTCGATTTAAATCAAATAGCGAAAAACGTTCTCATTTTAATTACATTAAAAATAAACTATAATCAAAAGAATTAAAACCTAATACTTACTTCAAATCTTGAACTGTTTTCCTTTTTTTCTCCGATAAAATCTATATATACGAATGATAGAAGATTGTATAAGTGAGCTTAGTTGCAGATTTAGAAAATGGATGAAATATTGGATTTTCCATTGTATGCGTGATTGTCTTAATATATTCAAAACACGCTTTGCTCCATCAGAGCCGATGCGAACCTCTTTCACTTAAATGATGATTAACTACGCAGTTTGAATATATTGATGACACCTTGATGACAATATGTTGGGAAAAGCGTATTTGGTTGCTAGTTCATCTCCATTAAGTTAACTTACTACTCTAAAACTTTGTGACATTTTCTTCGAAACCAATTGCCCCCAACTGACAAATAGCATATAGAAAATATCAATCAGGACAAGTAAAATTTTGACAAAATGAGCTCTTCCCAGAAGTTCTAAGTCTACAAATAGGCAAACATATAGATTTCTTTCATCACGAGGTAGTATAGACGATTTTTCCCGACTGAAATTCTCCGAAGGATTCCTTCTGTAAATTGACGTCACTTAAAGTGCCTCGTTAATGGGTGACTTGATTTATTCCTACTTTCTCTCCCTGGTTCTCATTGTCTAAACAGAAAAAATTAAGCTTCATACAAACTCGGGCTATTTTATGCTTTTTATATAAAAACACCACCAAGACCAATGCTGATAAAACTTTTCTTGAAAATATCCTGATATTTTCATTCATTGCATTATTCACTAACTTGCCTTTTATTATATAGAATATTCAGTCGAGATTGCGCAAATATCCTTTACTAACCTTAACTATCACCTCTAGCAAAGTCTACTGGTAGAAATTTGCTTCAAAATTTTCCAATAGCATGGGGAAAACGGAGTGTACGTTGTGTGGATAGTTCATTGTCAATTCTGACAAAACGTAAAAAATAATAAATAACTAATTACTTATAACCAGAATTTGAATAAACATTACGGCTGAAAGGATCTTTGCACGCATGACCGCACTTGCTCGCTACTCACTGTGTGGGACACGTCATCGCATGCCTGCAAGCCAGGATTGGGAGGCGCGACCGTACAAACAGTGACCTATCATTAACCTCTGTTTGTTTAACCTAATCCGCCATCCTGATCACGATTAAGCTTCCTGCGTGTACACATTATCCGCAATATTCGTACTGAATAAACGTGCTCCGTGCTACACGTCTGTTTCCTTTTATGGCTGGGCTATAGCTTAGCTGGTTCTGGGGGTCTAGCTAGATGTTGGAGAATCTGCCATAGAGATTTCTGAGTCGGTTAGGCTTTAATAAAGTAGCAATCCGCTACACTGTGTAAAACCACGCACTTTTCGGAAAAGTTAAGTTTGCGTGAGAATGCTTTGATTGAACGTGATAGTATTGCAGATTCCATATTGAAATAAATAAATATATATATATCTTTGCATTTTACATTTTGAAACAACACAATTTCCAAGAGCTTAAATTGATAAACTTCCACACCAATAAGAACGCATGGCATTTAATAGGAAAATTAGCTGAGGTAATTAAAAAGATGTTGGTTAATTCTTGTAACCATCCTGTAATTTAGCATAGTTTAATAACTATGCTAATTTTAATAATAATATTAAGATTTTCATGGATGCTAACTATTATTTCAATTGTAGCGGATTGCTACTTTAATAAATCCTTGATCAACTCAAACTCATCGATCGTTTCGCGAGCTGGCCGATCGCCGTTTCCCTGCACGACACCACGCCTACAATGGTGACTAAAGCCCTGATAGAAATGCGGATGTCCATATTCAGTGTTCCATCCGTGATCACGACAGAGCAGGAGGATCACAGTTTGTTTCTGCCTTATTCCGCGAATTAAACCGCCTCTTAGGTTCAACACATATTCATGCCACCGCCTTTAACCCAGAAGCCAACGGTCTCGTCGAACGTTTTCCTCGACGGGTAAAGTATGCCATTGCCTCTACTTCTTCTGGGTTAAATTCGACGGAGCGATTACCCATAATCCCTCTGTCAATTCGGAACTCTGTAAAGGTAGACATGGAATGCTCCCCTCTAGAGCCCATGAAGAGAGCTGAAATATAAAGTAAAACGTTATGAGGTCACGAATGCAGAGACCTCTCAATCAATCAATAACAAAGAACATTACCAAAGTGCATATAATAATAATTAAGCTTTCAATCAGTCAACACACAGCATAACACAGTGCCCACCCTGCACACAACCAACGTAAAGGACTTATATATATCTCCAAGGTAACATCATCCCAACGAACGTGTTGTAAAATTACGCGTCTGCTTGTACCGTGTCTTTGCAGTAGCTTAGTTTATCTTGGAAACCACTCCAAACTGGGAGAATCTGCCAGAGAGATTACTGAGTATCAGTGAAGGCTAATTACAGGCCCTACCATCTTCTCCCTGATTTCTATTTCGATCATCTTTCTGCTATTGAGTTGTGGGGATAGATGCAAGTAAGTAAGTAAGCAATGAAAGTAAATTTTCTCCGAAAAAAGAAATCGACAACTAGAATTCAACCAAGGGTGTGAAAATCGCTTTTAGAGCTGGAATTCATAAAATCAGTCAGCATTAAGTCACAATTAGATTTCTTGGCTTGTAAAGCACGCCAATATCTATTTCATAATCTCAGTGACTTATTTAGAATTTTAGTTTCGTAGCAAACTATGCAGATTGGAAGTCGAGTCGAACTTTTGAGCATAAATAAAGGCACTTAACAGGCTGCTTGATGTATCATTCTACGGACCAATTATATCATTAAACACGCATACCTCATTTAGATAATATTACCAAAGTCTTCTTAAAAGATTTAAAAAAAGCAGTACATCTTTTAACATAGAACTTAATACCGAAAAAATTGACAATTATTCTTTGACAATATATTATATGACTTCAATAGCAGAAAATATCTAGGTTCACCACAGTTTTATTTGAACACATTTACTGATGGAAAATTTGAGTGTAGAAAGCGTATATAGAAATGTTCAATGTGTAGATAAACGTAAATGAGAATAAACTCCATAATGAAAATTAATGTGCTCTAAGAGATAATTTATTTATCGATTGTTGACTCTACACAGTGGAATGTGTCAAGCTTATGAACGGAAGCAAAAAGTTAACTAACTTTGATGTATGATATTATAAAAGTGCCTGGACGTTCATATCAAATGAGAATAATATAAGATTTCAATTTATAGGGTATGATTAATTTTGAATATATGAGCATGCGCAAGGAGTAATTACTGAAAATTATCAGAAGTTGAAATAACATTTAAAATACTATTTTTAGAGTTAAACATACATGCATTAAAAATAGTAGAGCTTGAATACAAATGTTTATCATTGCGTCACAAACCGCTCCCTAGTTAAAAAAATTACCTATGATATGGGTAGTTGTGGAAGGTTCAGAGTCCCCTGTAGTTCAGGGCGTTATTTCCTATCATTTTTAGTCAAAAGAACGCTTTGTCGCACTTCGAATTTGCATTTAAATCACATTCGACACATACCTCCAAGCGCCATTAATTGGTATCCTGGTCACATGCAAAAGGGACTCAAAGCAATATTTTCTCGCATGGGTGAAGTCGATGTTGTGATCGAAATACATGATGCTCGCGTTCCCCTCACTGGTCGGTGCCAATTTGTAAAAGAAGCTGGTCTGGTATATTCTATCTTGCTGGAAGTGTAACTTTTGATTTAGATTCGACCACATATATTGGTTATGAGTAAAACCGATCTCGCTGAGCCCATTAAAGATGTAAATGAATACAAAAGCCTAATTTCCTCGGGGGATTGTGACGGTGGTCCTTATTATCATCCTCCCTCTGAAATATTCTTCGCCAACCTCAAACATCCTGAGAAGCAAAAGAGGCTACTCAATCGTATACTTTTTAGGTAAGAATGCTACTAATGAATTTACTTCACTATCTAGTATAGCTCGACTATCTTCAAGTGCGTGGCAGAGTCGAAATTTTCTAGACGCTGAGGATTGCGATGCTGAAAATGCACAAAATCCCACTCAACGCACGGTCAATGCGATTGTTGTGGGTCTTCCGAATTGCGGTAAAAGCACTCTGATTAATGCGCTTCGAAGTTTTGCTACTGGCGGTGGTAGGGGATCAGCTGTAAGTGTGGGGAAGGACGCTGGTCGTACACGGAGTGTAGGTGGACCAGTAGTTATCGCAAGGGACTTTCCCGTGATTGACGAAAGCGGCACAACTCAAGAACTCTGCACCATCCGACTGATTGATACTCCGGGGATTCTGGAACCAAAGGCGCAGACCTTTTGTGGACAACTAAGTCTCGCCATCTGTGGCGCTATGGATTGGAATGCGGTTGACAAGTGCAAGTTGTTCAGCTTTTCGCGTTTATATAAATTTTCTTCTTAGTGGTGCTCCTGCTTATTTTGCCATGCCAATAGGTCAATCTATAAGCGTTCTTTTCTTAAATCAATATTTTTAATTTCTCTAGTAAAGTTTTATTAAAGCTACTTTCTACTCAAACTTAGGAAAGTGATAAGGAAAAAGTGGTATTGCTTCAATTTTTTTCTCTTGAAGTCGCAAATTGTAATTTACATCATAATGGAGCGTTTCTAGCTTTTAACTAATTTATTATTTGTATCATTCATATTAATTGGAATCTCTCAGTCAAATTCAGGAGAATTATAAATCCTAATAATCATGATTGAAGCGTTCGCTTTTCCCTAAACATCGGTGAGGCTTTCATGGAGATTTGTCCAAATCGGGAAAACAAAGTACCTCATTTGTTTGGAATTCTGATTTTACTTTTGTCGACGTTTTAAAAGTTTAATTTTCTGCAATGCTACTAGGTCACCGTGGGGAATCAGTTTTGTATTCTCTTCCTTTGATGTTGATATAATTAGCATAGACGAAAGGAAATATCGATTTTCTAATAGCTTAACTTAGATTCATATGGATTTTTTGTTACTATCATTTTAGTTGTCTTGGCCGATTACCTACTTTTCTGCTTGAACGCTCGTTCTAACTTTGAATATGTTCGCACTATTGGTCTCCCGGGTCCAACCGAACGAGTGGACGAGTTGCTTGCCTGGATAGCTGCTCGGCGCCGTCTATTTCAAACCACAACGACATCCGTTCGCCGCCAATGCTCTGAAGGTGGTCCCACCCCCAATGGGAAACCCGATTTGAACGCCGCCGCCACTTATCTACTTCGAGCCTTCAACCAGGGTGCACTTGGCCGCATTACTCTCCTCCCCAGTGTAGATGAATCCCGTTCGAAGGATTTCTTCGTTCCCACCTCCTCCCACATGTACAGATCAAGTCAATAGATGAATGCTCAACCACTCCCCTGTTTCTCGTTCCTACCCTTAATGCGTGACCCCCTTATTTGGGAGCTTCTTCTTTTTTTCTTTCAGCAATCCCCAATGGAAGAGGAGGCGATGGAGTCCAAGACACTAGACTGGAGTCAATTTTTGCAAAAGAAGGCCGAGTTTGAGAAACTCCCAATTCCTGAAGACTGGAAGGGATGGGTGTCCTACAAATTCCTCGAAGTGAGTCAATTTAATTTTAAATCCTTCTAATGATTTCCGGAATTATTCTTATGCTAGATATTGACTTCCGTTACATTTTCTTCGATTTTACTTTCAAGTGATAAGGACAGAAATATTACGTGACCCCGCAAAAGTAATAAATATTATTTTCAGAATGTTGGGATACCCGGTACCTCTTCTGTCTTGCCTACCCTCTATTATGAATTAAGTCAGGACATTGTAAGTAGCGTGGGGTCTATAAGTGGGGAGTCGAATGGCTCGAGCACCATTTTTGGAGCATAGCGACAATCTTAAGGTAATTAGTGGAAAATAGTCGAGCAAATGGGAATTTGAAGAGGATGAAATCTCAAACTGGACAACTTAAAAGTGGTATGAGAGTAGAGAAAGATGCGTAAAAGTTGAGATTCGAATAATAACCCCACTTTCTTTTTTGTTAATTCGCAGTACGCGCTGTGGGCAGTGGAGGATCCGTGGGGTTTTATGACGAGCATCATGATGGTGGTCGGGGTTCTCTTCCTAGTGAGTGCGGCGTGCTCCTGGAAACTAGCCAAGCTTATCGAGAAGGAGGAGGAGGACAAGAAGCGGAAGGCGCGTCGAGCCAAGGCAATTCGCGCTGCTTCTGGCCGTCATCCCAAAGCCGAGTAACTCAGAGGTGAATGATCCCCATCAGTGCTTCTTGCTCCCCCCTCCCCCCCCCATCCCCCTCAAACAAGTCTGAATCGATCTATTTGATTGACTCTGTGTGACTGAATCCGTTATCAACTCGGATAGTTTGCAGTCACAAAGGTAGTAGAACAGGTTGGTTTTTTAGACAGTTAGGGGGGGGGAGGGAAGCACTGGTTCAAAATTGCGTTTGAGGACGGTGAAGAGTACGTTATAAGTATTATTTATAGTTCCAGCCTTTATGCTCACCAAAATTCCCCTTTGAATTCTTCGCATACATTTCAGCTGCAGTTATTTAAGAGGCCATAGGAATGTCACTTTCAGAGAAGTTAGAAGGCTAGGAATGTGACTTCGGGCCTAGTTTCCTCCAATTTTCCTGCAAGGAGGGCGGAAGACTTGCATCAAGGAGGTGGAAGTTTTGCATTCTAGGGGGGGGGGGGGGGGGGGGTGGGCGCGAAAAAAAACAGTGTGGAATCACC